TCGGCGTGCAGGAGGGAAAGGGGGTACCTCAGCGGTGCCTCCATCCTGGGAAACCCCGCCAAGACGCCCACGTTTACAGCCAGGATCTGTCGCGTGTGGATCCTTTAACGCTTGCAGGGTGTAGTACGACTGGAGATGAAGAGGAAGGAGCATGTAACGCCGGATGGCGGTGTTTAAACACCACTGGAATTTACGGTCGTTTGAAACGCTTTACCTGAAGAAGTCTCTTGATGAATTACACTTAGAGGAACCTTGTATGCCAGACCCTTCTTCTGGCTCGGGAAGTACCGTTCCCACTTCACATACATCACGATGAAGAAACGTTGCATGGTGTTTGTGAAGCATTCGGCACTTAGGATTCCATGTGCTTTTCACTTTTGACTTATACCCGCTCCTCTCTCCTCGATTCAGCCCCCTTTGTGTTAGCTACTGGTAAGATGATCAGTTTATTAGCATGTGTGTATTATTCTGGCTACTTGAGAGTTCTGTGCCTTGGAAAAAGGTCGTTAGCCCTTTCCTTGCAGACTTTTGATCCTGTTTCAGAAGGCTGAGTTTTAAGGATACAGGTTTGCGCAGGCCGACGGTTGGTCACGTTAACGATGCTGTGTCGTGAGCTGATGCTGCAGTGCTGTGGAGTGCAGGGAAGTGCTTTCCTGGAACACAGGGCTTTAGGAGTGGGGTGCAGTATAGTACAATTCTGCATTTGTTAACCCACTCAGCCAGACTTTTCTTCCTCTTTCTGTTGAACAGGAGCGTAAAGGGACAGCCAAAGTTGATTTCCTCAAGAAAATCGAAAAAGAGATCCAGCAAAAGTGGGACGATGAGCGAGTCTTTGAGGTTAATGCTTCGGACAGGCAGAGCCAGAAGAGGTATCCTTACTTTTTTTTCCAGGTTTCATCTTTAACTGCCTGAAATGTCTTTTCAGGGGAACTTTTTTCCTTCAGAACCCGGGGGGGAAGTGGCCTCTTTTGAATGAACAGGGTTCTTGGATCATCTGGAGGTACTTACTTCTGCATTAGGTGGGCATTGCTGTAGCTGACAGCGTATAGCAGTGGTGTATGTGTGTTGGCTGGATTCCAGTAGGATGAGAAAAGCCTCTTCATTCCTTGGCCATCAAATTGGTTCCCCCTGAGAGTTTAAAAACAGATTCTTTTTGGTGACTTCTACTTTTGGACACGGAGGAGGCTTCTCAGTGTGATGCCTGAGCCCTTACTAGCCTTAACTACTGGGCTTTTACTCTCCCAGTCAGAAAGGACGCTCCTTTATCCAAAGGAAGGTGTATCCTTGCTCTGCTCCGCTGGGAAAAGAAAGTAGGTGAACATGTATCTTGGGCCCTGGTGTAGGCCAACCTGTTTTACATCGCGTTAAGTGGCCGAAGGCTGGGCGTGGGATCACTGCTGCTCCTAGGGTGAGGGGCTGGGACTTCCTTAGCACATGGGCCATATTGCAGAGCTTTGTCCCACTGCCGCGTTAGTTGTAGAGCTTCAGCTTTGATCTGCAGCTCCAGCCAAGTTAGTCCCAGGACTGAGTGAACAGCGAAGGACCCAGAAGGGTGAGGAGGTTTGGATGCTGCCTTAGGATGTGTACTAAAAGCTGGTGTGTCTGTGGGGGTGTTGCACACGCTCTCTCGTTTTGGCTTCAAAGAAATACAGTCTGTGCTTTTAAGTATTCACTGTCTTACAGGTTGAAATTTAAGGCTGGAACTAATACTTAGTTTCTGACTGAAAATAGAAGTTGTGGATCAGCTTTACACTATGGAGCAGTTTAATAGGAAATTTCTGTGGTCATTATGGTAACACATGAGCACCTTATAAGCAGAAAAAAAGCTGCTTTGCAGCTTTTCTTGAGGTAAAATATTGCTGAGCTGCTGTCTGACTGTAGAAGGTGCTGATTTCCTTGCTTAAATTGTCTCCCACCTGGCTGGTTTCAGGACTGCCCTCTTTCATTCTGAGGTTGGCTCTTCTAAACGAGCAGGCGTGTGAAGCCCTGGTTGGTCTCTGATGCCAGATCCAGCCTGCTCCTGTGCCTGAGCAGCCACCCAGCCTTGGCGTGACACTGCACCCCTTTACCTGTTCATGTGCAGCAGGATCTAGTTATCCCTTGTGTGGGACAGAACCCCTGGAAGCGCTTAGCACGCTTGGGAGCGCAATTCCTCTCACATGGATAGGAGTGATGCTCTTCAGCGTAGAGAGAGGCTTCCCTGTGGAATGCTGTTAGTCGTTTGGGTTTGTCCCTGACAAAACAGGGACCTTGGCAATGTGTGGTTAGTTATTTGTTACGTGGGGAAGTCAGAATAAACCAGGAGAGTAACTGCAGGGCGGCAGCGTCTTCCTTTGCGAGGCTTTGCAAGCAAAGGCATGACTAGGCCTTGATCTGTGCATGTTTATCCACCAGCCGTGGTGCCAGAAGGGAGAAGGTGAGGTAGAGGTATAGCGTCCTAAGGATCTAGGGCTATGTGAGCTGCTTGGAGAGGGGTTCCAACAACACTCGGTACGTTTGAAACCGTGCGGCACCGTATCTGTCTCTGAAATGAGTCGTTATTTGCAGCGTGCTGCTGGAAGACCTGAACTCGGACAGTGGGAGGTTAAATAAGGGACGTCAGGCCTTTTCAGTACTTCGTTCCCAGGCGTAGGATTAGAGCTTGTTGCCCTTGGGATGATGCTAGATCTATTTTGGAGTTTCTCTGTGGGGTTTTTCTTTGGCGGTTTTTTAAAAGGTGATGAAACCCGTTTGTGTGTTGGTTCTTCAGGGTCAGACTTGGGTTACTGGCAGGAAAATACTGTCTTGGTGTCCCTGTGGGCTGCTGGTAGCTGAATGTGTCAGAGAACTGTTTACTGGTTCATCTTCTGATGGTCACGTGAAGCCAGTTACACGTTTTGATTCTTTGAATTTCTTGTCAGCAGGGGGAAGTACTTTGTTACCTTTCCCTATCCCTACATGAACGGCCGCCTTCACCTGGGACACACATTTTCTTTATCTAAATGTGAGGTAAAAAGTCTCCTTTGCTAATACCTTTAGGTACTACTCAGAACAAACGCGGATTTGGTAGTTGAATTTTGAGCTAACAGGTGCCTTGTTAATGACTTTATAGATTCATGTTAATGACTTAATTCAAACTGCCCTTTTTCCACATGTTCTCAGGGAGGATATTGCTAGTTGAAGAGAGGTGCCACTGGTGGCTGGGTTTAGTTCTGGGAGACTAGGCTACGGGTGTTCTCCCCTCTTCATTCTTGCAGATCTGCCAAGAGTTTTAGGAGATGCTGCTGCGTGCCGTTTGCCACAGACTCCACAAGAAATCCCACTGCCTCTCTCAGTTGCGAGCACGGTGCTGTGTCACCGCTGTGCTAGCCGGTTTTTGGTGCCGGTGGATGAGACTCCACAAAATCCATCTCCTCTTTGCCCCCGTTCTTCTCTAGTCAGAAGCAGCCCCTGAAAGTTAGGAGGGCTTGTACTGACGTGCTGGGCAGCGGCAGACCAGATGGCGAAGTCCAGTTTCACCTTCTTCCCCCTTGCTTGCCTTCCTAGCTGCTGTGGGCTGCGTTCGTCTGTCGGTAGTTTCATGTTAGAGAAGGGGATTGGTTTTTGAGAAGGCTGCTGACATAACCTGGTGCTGTGCTTGTTTAACCTGTTTCATTTTCCCACTTTATGTAGTTTGCGGTTGGGTATCAGAGGCTGAAGGGAAAGAACTGCTTGTTTCCGTTCGGCCTGCACTGCACGGGGATGCCTATAAAGGTGAGACCCTCTGACTTACTGAGGGCTTTTTATACTTACAACTACTCAGAGCATTGCTTGCTGTCCATCCTGCACATCTTAATTGAGTCAGAAATCCATCAGGACAGCGTGGTTTGGAACCCGAATTTATAGCAAAGATAAGTTGTGCTGGAGCCACACATTGTGACTTTCTATAAAAGAAAATGCTTTAAAATTAAGTTTACCTATTGTGTTTTTTTCATCTGCAAGAAAGTCCTTGCTGTCAACCTCCTCCTGCCACGGCAGGCAGTCTGGAAGTTGCATGATCTCCTAGAAGTTCGTGCAGTGCCCAGAGACAGTTTAAAGCATTGTAGTGGCATGTGAGGGGCTACCAGTAGAAACCATCCCTGGCAACTGCTTCAGTCCCAGCTGCAAGAGAGTGATGATAGACTGCCAATAACTCTCTTTAGGCTTGTGCAGATAAGCTCAAGAGGGAAATGGAATTGTATGGCTGCCCACCTGAGTTTCCTGATGAGGAGGAAGAGGAGGAAGAAAATTCTGCTAAAAAAGAAGAAATTATCATCAAAGACAAAGCAAAAGGCAAAAAGGTGAACTCTGAGCAAAGACTTTGTGGGTTGGTAGCTGTGCTCTCAAAGCTGCCAAGGCTGCGTTACGGGTTTTCCTCCTTCGCGCTCCGCAGAGAAAGCATTGATGGAAATATTTAGGTAGTTTTTTCCCAGGTAGCTGGGTGCTTTCAGGGCATGCTTGAAAAAAACGCATCAGTGGCGTGGTCCCAGGAGACGGCGTTAGTGCACGAGGTGGTGGTGGGCAGCTGGGGCAGCGTTGAATAGTTTCCTCAGGGAAACGGCTTTGTCCAGAGCAGTACTCTGGGTTTTCTTTTCTGTTTTTTTTCTCCTCTACACGAAGCAAATTGTAGGAATAGCCTGCTTTCTCAGCAGCAGGGGGTGGATATAGACACCCCCCACTATTCTGATCAGTCTCGTGAGCTGGTGCCTGGCCCGTTCTGGCTGGATGCGCCAAGTAAAGTCATCCAAACTGTTCTGGCTTGTCAGGGATTTAAATGGGGTCCCTGATTTTGAGAGTGTCACAAAGCAAGGAAAGAACCAAGCCTAGGAAAATGCAGAGGTGTTCCCCTGTATCGTTGGTGTAAGCTGGAGAGGCTGTCACGCTGGAAGTGTTCGGTCTGGGATGCTGTCTGCTCTGCACCCACAGCTGCGGTCTTCCCTACTCTTGGGGGCTGTTGGGTAGGGCAGGACGTATTCGAAGGACAAGAGCTGGGAAAAGTAACATGAGGAAAGTAAGAGCAGAAAAGGTTTTGGTACAAGGACGTTAGTGCAGGACTGCTCTGCCTTTTCAGGGTAAACCAGCCCTTTGTTTGACCAGGGCCCCGGTGACTGGCCATCCCATGCCCCTTTGCCATGGCACACCCCTTCTGCAGAGGCGTCCGGTCGACGGGAGCTTGTAACAGTTGGGGGGGTTGGTGTACGTGCAGCTGGACACAGGCTAGGAAGGAGTGTAGATCAGAAACTCAGGTTGTTAGTCACTGCTAGAGGAAGGATGCCAGGGTATTTATATTAATTCATTTATTTGGAAAGAGAAGCCGTAACATCCACAAGGAAAAGTGCTCTCAAGCACGTGGAGCTGTTGTTGGCACAAGAGTGTGCACCTTCCTCATGGCGACTGTCCTTTCAGAGCAAGGCTGCTGCCAAGGCTGGCTCTGCCAAATACCAGTGGGGAATCATGAAGTCTTTGGGTCTTTCTGATGAGGAAGTGGTCAGTTTTTCGGAAGCTGAACACTGGCTGGATTACTTCCCTCCCCTTGCTGTCCAGGACCTGAAGAGCATGGGATTGAAGGTAAGTGAAATCAGTCAGTTGTGCAGGCACTTGGCTTGGGTGACAATCCAGGCCTTCCCTGTGCAGAGCCTATACCCTGCGCAGTGATCCCAACGGGAAACGAGAGTCGGATAAAGGAACTGAGACTCTCTTGTTCCCATGTTAGATAGCTGTCCTGTGGTCAGTACTGGCAGCAGTTTTGGGAAGGGTAACGAGAAACAACGACTTGTCCTGCTGACAACCGATTGTTTTTAAAAACGAAGGCAGGGAGAGGCCTTGGAACAAGGTAGTGCTGAAATCTACCTGGAGCAATCGGCTGAGACTGCTAAAACCACAGGAGTCCATTGTCAGCAGACAGGGCCTTGTCTTGGACATCTCCTCTCGGAAAGACCGTGCGCATGCAGACACGCAGCTGATGTTTCCAGCACCTCCCTGGGTGTGATTTGTACTTTGTTGTCTTTATGGGGAGAACCTCTCTATTTTTAAAATAACGGTTTTGCTGTTGTGAGGTTCCTTGAATTTCTGTCGTATGTACTCACCAGAGACTTGTGCATTTCCAGGTGGATTGGAGGCGCTCTTTCGTTACTACCGATGTCAACCCTTTCTACGATTCCTTTGTACGATGGCAATTTCTTACGTTAAAGGAAAGAAATAAAATTAAGTTTGGGAAGAGGTAAGCCTGCCACTCATCACTGGGTGTATTGTGGATGTGGATAAGTTCAGCTTTCCCAGGACGGGACCCTGTGACGTGTCTCTAGAATGTGCTCGTATTTGGCAGCAAACCAAAATCTTCCATTTCAGCTGCTCTACCAGACACACGTGCTGCTTTTAGTCCGGACGGAGTTAACTGCCTTCACGGGGGCTGGCACGAAGCTGTTTCTGGAGTTGTCCTGAGAAGAGCAATGATGAGTGTCTGTTTAGCTGGTGCTGGGGAGTGCTGGCACCAAATCCAAGGTCTTTCCCAGCTTCTGACACCGCAGCTGCGTTCCCAGCTCTCTCCCTGCAGGCAGTGTGGGGACACACCGCTCGGACAGCCGACCCACCCCGACCGGCGGGGGATCGCATCCCATAGCACGGCATGCTCGGACATGAGCGGGGCGTGGGCTGGGGGGCTACAACTCTTTTACTCTCTCCTGAACTCTTCTGTTAGGTCCTTAACCCCTTCGCTAACTCCTGTGCTGGCTGGTTTGTGAGTGAGCCGGGGGGGTCAGCTGGCTTTCCCTATCTTCTCAATTTTATGAGCTCCTTTGTCTTTTCCCCCGATTCTCCCCCTCCGCTGGAGGAAGGGGGGAGGTGTGCGAGCGGCTTCGTGATATTTTGCCAGCTGAGGTTAAACCACGACAGTCCTTGGCGCCCAGCGTGGGGGGTTGAGGTGCGAGCTGATCTGATTACTGTGTGGGAAGTCTTGGTTACAGAGGTGTGGTGGTGGCTGCTCAGCACCCAAGTTCTTGGCTCTGTAAGTTGTTGATAGAACACTGGGATTCACTGCCTTGTGTGCTCCTGATGACGCTGATCACGCGTGCTCTCAGACTGAGGGGTCTGGCTGGTCTGTGTATTGTTGGTTTGGGGAGGAATCCTGCATGGCAGGATATTGGCAGCGTCCTGGGGCTTCGCACCCCATTCACCAGTTACACCTTTCCCTCTTCTCCTCTGGGACACAGCCTGTAGAGGGGAAATTATTCAGTGGGTTGAATGGCAAGGAATTATTCAGTGGGTTGAATGGGAAGGAATTATTCTAATTTTCCCCCTCTCAGGCCAATGCACAAGTGTATGAGTATTTGGGAAATGTTTCATGGTCTTGGCATGCCCTGTGGTTAGGGATCAGCACGCTGCTGAATGTTCTACGCTACTTTATTTGCTAATAAATGTGAATACACCTTGTTCTAGATACACCATTTATTCTCCAAAAGATGGGCAGCCTTGCATGGATCACGACAGGCAAACAGGAGAGGTAACCTCATTAACTGACGTTTTTACGTGTTGCTTATGATCTTAAACCCTGACTGGAAAAATAAATTGTATCTTGGGGCAAAATGTATTTTGTGTGTGCTGTTACCGGTTCTCAGCTGTCAGCTCATGTGAAAATGGAACAAACTCCTCTGTTGAGAACACTTCTCCTGAAGCGTGGACGGTTGTTCCCGTTGAGGCTGTTTTCTGTGCTTGCTTGGCAAGCTGTGGCAGCAGCATGGCTTCACATGTCATTATCTGTGAAACAAACCAAGTACACTGGTAGTAACCCTCGTGCTGCTGAGACAGTGGCTGTGACAAGTACATTTTTGGACGTAGGAATGAAGTATAACCTCTCTCCCCAGCCCATGCTGTAGCGAACAGCTGTTTGTATCCATGGGGTAGGATTTATTTGAAGAAAGCAGCAGCAGTACCTTAAATAGCATTGAGGTTAGGTTACTGCAGAATGGGACTTACTTTCTCTACTGCTGGGGTCCATGTCATGTATTGATTGCTGCGTTGTTTGAGTTGTAGGGTGTTGGGCCTCAAGAATATACGCTAATAAAAATGAAGGTGTTGGATCCTTATCCTGCAAAATTAAGGTAAGTCTTGGATTTGTAATGGCAGATAGGTTCTGTCTTAGGGCCAGAAGTGACTCTTACATTAGACACTCTGCTTTGCCTACTGCAGGGTTTACCTTCACCTCATTTTTTCTGTTGCTTCGATGACTTGGTCTCTGATGTGAGCTGCTGTATTCACCAGTCTGTGTGGAACCCAAATTGGTGTTAAAAAAAAAAAAGAGGATGAAAAACCCACAAAGAACTTAATGAGCCACTTTCATCCCTTAGGAAATGTTACGTAGAAGTTCATATTAACTTGAAGCATGTTCTGTATTGCCCTGAAGGTTTTTATTTTGGTGACGTACACCTTTCTTCCCCCGCAGTGGCCTGAGAGGGAAAAATATCTTCTTGGTGGCTGCTACGCTCAGACCAGAGACCATGTTTGGACAGACTAACTGCTGGGTTCGCCCGGACATGAAGTACATCGGCTTTGAAACTGTGACTGGGGATATTTTTATCTGTACCCAAAGAGCTGCCAGAAACATGTCCTATCAGGGCTTCACCAAGGATAACGGAGTCGTACCTGTTGTCAAGGAGCTGATGGGAGAAGTAAGCATCTTGCAGCGTGCTGCTCGGGCTGATTTGTTCTGTGAAGCTCAGACTCACAAAGGTGATGTCACCATCTTTCTTGATCCTGCTTTGAAGTATGAAGCAGAAACCAGGTTTTGTTTCTTTTGTTAGTAGACGTGATGGTGAATTCAAGCAAATGAGAGGTAGAAGGCAATGGCAATATCTAAATTACCTCCTGTCAGTGCATACATGGTCCAGGCTTCTCCTGCCTTCCTTTGACCTGCCTTTTGACACTGGCTTTCCAGTTCATTCCTGTTGTGATGCTGATGTGCTCCAGGTATTTGGAGCCAAACTGTTCTCCTGCTTGCTTCGTCTTTCCAGCTCTGCACTTCAGTAGTTCTGCTTTCTCTGAATTACTTTTTCCGTATGATCTGGTATTTGACTTTTCTGCCAGTAAATAGTCCATATACTGTCTTAAATCAACCGATTTGCATATGCACTTCCTCCTTGCCTACCTCTCTGTATAGTTAGTTTGTTTGTTTGTAATATGTGGGAATTCAGTGACTTGCAGACTCTCTGCCAGGAGAGCTCACTCAGCTGGGCTGCACACGTGCCCTTTACTGTCACGGTGTTCCTTTGTCCTGCGCAGGAGATTCTCGGCGCTGCCCTTTCGGCACCTCTCACCACCTACAAAGTCATCTATGCTCTTCCCATGCTCACGATCAAGGAAGATAAAGGTAACTTTCAGCAGCGTCCCCCCAAAGCCCGTTTGCTGCGCACCCAGCACGCGTTGGCTGATCCTGCTATCTGGTGTATCCCTTTCTTTGTCAAGGAACTGGAGTGGTAACCAGTGTGCCCTCTGATTCTCCGGATGACATTGCAGCCCTGAGAGATTTGAAAAAAAAGCAGGTCAGCCTGTGAACCTAATTGCTTCTGTTTGTTTCCTTCCCATAGTGTGGTCAGAAGTGGATATCCCATGGGTAGAATGAAACTCCCTGTAATTGGAGTTTTGCCACCTCTGACTTGAAGTCAAAGTAGCTAAAACCAGGGTTAAAACCAGCTGGGCTGGGACAGATTTTTTTGATTCTCGGACCTCAAGAAGAGTTTTGGACAAGGATCGTGTAACTTCTGCTGCAGGTTAAGGTGTAGAAGAGTACCAGTGGAATCGCAGTAAATTCCTGTGTGGAAATGACTTCCGGAGCTGAGATTAGGACTCGTGTGAATTTCAGAGGAGACTTAAAGTAGCTGTTGCTGTTACAGCTTTGGATATGTCAGTGTCCAACCAGCTGTCCCTGGCTGTTGAGTTTTTGTCCCATTTGTTTTCAGGGGAGGGTGATGGTGGGTTTTCCCCCTCTTAAAAACGTGGACAGTTATGACAAAGAATCACTTGGAGATGAGACGGCTGTTAAACTCAGGTGTGAGAAGTGGTGGGAACGCAGCTTTGTAACAAAATACTGTCTACAATGCAGATCCTATGAATAGATAAACACCTTTAAATCTGGAAGATTTTTTTGTCTAACTATACTCTGCTTTTTTTTCCTGACCCTCAAAGGCTTTGAGGGTGAAGTATGGCATCAAGGATGAAATGGTCCTGCCGTTTGAGCCGGTAAGTACACCCAGCTGTGTCCATCTGCGGTACCCGTGACTCCGTAGTCACTGAGAAGTGTGCCAGGAACTGTGCCTGCTGCTTCCAGAATCCCTAAAGTCGTCTTCAGCTCAGAGTGGAGAAGTTTAAAGTTTTCGTGGTTTGCTGTAATTCTAATATTTGGTCAGTTAGGGGTTGCCAAGATTTGTTATTCTGTGCTGTACTTGGGAGATAAAGGGAAATGTTGTTTTTTGTGGGAATTACTGTTTTGGAGAGTGGAGTGCCTCATTACACTGAGACTGATACGTTGGTTGGTTAAAGCTTCCAGCCAGACTGGTACTTGTTCTGTGCCAAGAGCTCAGTCCCACTCTGAACACAGGCTCATGGCCCAGCCACGTAGCTTATAGTAAAGCCGCGGCCTCCCTCGCTGCCTCCCTGCTGGTGCAGCTTGGTACTGGGGTCATGTCAGGAGCTAGCACGGGGCTGTTGCTTTTGGCCAAGGTAGCAGCACACACACTTTCAGGTCCCTAGCGAGAACTGCCTTTTTCCCTTCATAATCTCCTGTTCAGACTCCCCTGTCAGCCTCGGACTGCAAACCAGGCAAAATACGCTCCTCCCTGGTTTGTTTGGTGTGTGACTTTGGGTGAGGCTTGTGAAACTGGGAAACAAACCTCTGTGAAGATTTCCTGACGTGGAAGTGACGTGCACCAGGTGCCTGACGCTGCTGTGTTAATTCTCAGGTGCCCATCATTGAAATCCCAGGCTATGGCAGCCTGTGTGCTCCGACGGTCTGTGATGAGCTCAAAATCCAGAGCCAGAATGACCGGGAGAAACTTGCTACCTGAAGGGATTTTATGAGGGAGTAAGTAACAAAAGCTTTTGTTTTTTTCTTGTGAGTTTGATGAGGAGAAAAACAGTGGGTAAAGAATAATAAAACCTGCAAGAAAGAGGGCGATTTGTCCTCTTTGCCCCAGGCCGTTTCTTGTTCAGCCTCCTCCTGCAGTCAGGGTCTGCAGCCGGAGTCCCGCAGGATGGAAGGAGCAGCCTGGGGGAGCTCCTGGCTGCAGCAAGGCGTAGGGTCGCCTTTCCTAGCCAGTGGTCACAGTCGGGGAGTTGACCAGTTTTGGTCAAGTGGTGACTGGAAACGACGTGAGGAGAGCACTGTGGTGGTGGTGGGGGGCTTGATCATCTTACAGCTCCTGGCTTTACTTGTGTAATGCTCGCTATGGTGTGTTCCTCGGCTCTTCTCTTGTAAGCTGTCAGCGATTTCTGTTTCTGACTAGCTGTGTTCGGCTGCCTGTCTGCATGCTGAGGTATAGAAATGCATTGTGGGTAAAGATGACCATCTTTAGTGCAAAAACCCTTGTATTCCTCTTTTTTGCATGTCAAAGATTGCAGTAACTGCTACTCCATGTTCATCTAAAGAGCTATTGCACCTATTTCTTGTTAATTTAACCCCCCCTGTCTCCTATGACTCCTCTTCTACAGGTAATGTTGGTGGGTGGATTCAAAGGACAAAAAGTTCAAGATGTCAAGAAGG